TGGCGAATCGATCTCTAACCTGATTCTGATGATAACCCATGGGGGGCTAATGATCTTCTAACCTAATTGATATAAACACATGGGGAAGCGATATGAATCCTTTAACCTGTCTTAATATAACACATGGGGGGCTAAATATCTCTAACTGATCTGATATAAAAACACATGGGGGGCGGGCAAATGATCTCTAACCTGATCTGATATAACACATGGAACGGCGAATGATCTGTACGCTGATCTGATATAACACATGGGGCTAATGATCTCTAAGCCTGATCTAATATAACACATGGGGGGCGAATGATGTCTCTAACCTAATCTGATATAACACATTGGGGGCGAATGATCTCTAACCTGAATCTGATTATAACTCATCGGGGCGAATGATCTCTAACGGGCTGATCTAATATAACACATGGGGACGCGAATGATGCTTAACCTGATCTGAATATAACACATGGGGCGCGAATCGATGCTCTAACGCCTGATCTGATAATAATAATACACATGGGGGGGGTCTAATGATCTGCTAACCTGATCTGATATATACACATGGGGGGGGGGCGAAATGATCTCTAACACTGATCTAATATAACACATGGGGGGCGAATGATCTCTAACTGTCTTGATCTGATATACAATGGGGGGGCGAATGATCTCTAAACGTGATCTGATATAACACCATGGGGGGGCGAATGATCTCTAACCTGATGCTGAATAATAACACAATTGTGCATGGGGGGAGCGAATGATGCTCTAAACCTGATCTGATATCAACACATGGGGGGCGAATGAATCTCTAACGCCTGATGCTAATATGAACAACATGGGGGGCTAATGATCTCTAACCTGATCCTGATATAACACATAGGGGCGAATGATCTTAACCTGATCTGATATAACGCACATGGGGGGCGAATTGATCTCTAAACTCTCAATGCTAATATAACACATGAGGGGCGAATGATCTCTAATTGAATCTGATATAACATGGGGGCGAATGATCTCTAACGGCTGAATCTGATATAACACAACTGGGGGGCTAATGACTCTAAGCCTGATGCTGATATAACACATGGGGGGGACGAATGGATCTCTAACCTGATCTGATATAACACATGGGGGGCTAATGATTCTACGCTGATCTGAATAACATCATGGGGACGAATGATCTCCTAACCTGATCTGATATAACACATGGGGGGCTAATGATCTCTAACCCTGATCTGATATATCAATGGGGGGCGAATGATCGCTAACCTGATCGTGATATAACACATGGGGGCGAATGAATCTCTCTCTAACGGCTGATGCTGATATAAGCACATGGGGGGGCCGAATGATCTCTAACACTGAATCTGATATAACACATGGGGGCTAATGATCTCTAACCTGATCTGATATAACACATGGGGCGCGAATGATCTTCTAACGCTGATCCTAATATAACAGCATGGGGGCTAATGATCTCTAACCTGATCTGATATAATACTGGGGGCGAATGATCTTAACCTGATCTTGATATAACACATGGGGGGCGGGCTGATATGATCTCTAACCTGATTTAATTAATAAAAAACTCAAAAATTTTTGAGGCGGCCCCCGCCGGCCGGGCCTAAAATTGAAAATCTCTACTGATCTGATATTAAGCACATGGGGGGCTAATGATCTCTAACCTGCTCTGATTATAACACATGGGGGCGATGATCTCTAACCTGATCTAATACTATAAACATGGGGGGCTAATGATCTCTAACCTGATCTGATATAACACATGGGGGGCGGGCGGAATTATCTCTAACCTGATGCTGATATAAGCACATGGCGGGGGCTAATGATCTCTAAACGCTGATCTGATATCACAGCATGGGGGGCGAATATTTCTCTAACGCTGATTTAATATAACACATGGGGGCGAAAATGATCTCTAAAATCCTGATCTAATATAACACAGGTGGGGGGCGAATGATCTTTAACCTTGATCTAATATACACACATGGGGGGCGAATGATCTCTAACCTGATCTGAATATAAGCACCTGGGGGGGGGCTAATGATCTCTGAACCTGATCTGATATAACACAGTATGGGGTGCAGATGATCTCTAACCTGATCTGATATAAACACATGGGGGTGCTAATGATCCTAACCTGATCTGATAAAACACATGGGGGGCGAATGATCTTTTAAACGCTGATCTGATATAACACATGGGGGGCGAATGATGGCTCTAACCTGATGCTGATATAAACATGGGCGGGGACGAAATGATCTCTACGCTGATGCTGATATAGTACACATGGGGCGACATGATCTCTAACCTGATCTGATATAACACATGGGGCGTAATGATCTCTAACCTGAATCTGATATAACACATGGGGGCGAATGATCTTACCCTCATCTAATATAACCCATGGGGGGCTAATGATCTCTAACCTGATCTGATATAATACATGGGGCGAATGATCTCTAACCTGATCTGATATAACACATGGGGGGCGGTGCCGAATGATCTCTACCTGATATTAATATAACTCATGAGGGCTAATGATCTGCTAACGGCCTGAATCTGATATAAGCACATGGGGGCTAATGATCCTACGCTGATCTGATATAAACACATGGGGGCGAATGATCACCCCCCCCCTCTAAGCTGATCTAATATAAGCACATGGGGGGCTAATGATCTGCTAACCTGAATCTGATATAGAACATGGGGGGCGGGCGAATGATGCTCTAACCTTATGATCTGATATAAGCTACATGGGGGGCAATGATCTCTAACCTGATATGATATCAACACATTGGGGGCGAATGATCTCTAACCTGATTTTAACACCTATAACACATGGGGGGGGAATGATCTCTAAACGCTGATCTAATATAATACACATGGGGGGCGAAATGATCTTTAACCTGATCTAATATAACACATGGGGGCGATGATCTCTAACCTGATCTGCTATAACACATGGGGGGGGGCTAATGATGCCTAACCTGATCTGATATAACACATGGGGGCGAATGATCTCTAACGCTATCTGATATAACACGATGGGGGGGCTAATGATCTCTACCTGATCTGATATAACCCATGGGGGGCGAATGATGCTTTAACCTGATCTGATATTAAAAATGGGGGGCGAATGATGCTTACGCTGATCTGATATAACACATGGGGGGGACGAATGATGCTCTAACGACTGATTGATATAACACATGGGGGCGAATGATCTCTAACCTGGAATCTGATATAACCATGGGGCGAATGATCTCTAACCTGATCTGATATAACAATGGGGGGGCGAAATGATCTCTACCCTCAATCTAATATAACACATGGGGGCTAATTGAATCTTGCTAAGCCTGATCTGATATAACTACAGTGGGGGGCGAATGATCTGCTTAACTCCTGATCTATATAAGCACATGGGGGGGGAATGAATGCTCTAACCTATCTGATATAACACATGGGGGGGGGGGCGAATGATCTCTAAACCTGATTCTGATCCATGAACACATGGGGGGGACGAATGATCTCTAACCTGATCTGATATAAACGATGGGGGCGATATGATCTCTAACCTGATCTGATAATAACACATGGGGGGCGAATGATCTCTAAGCCTGATCTGATAATAAGCACATGGGTGAGGGCGAATTGATCTCTAACCTGATCTGATATAGACACAATGGGGGCGAATGATCTCTAACCTGATCTGATATATACATGGGGGGCGAATGATGCTCTAACGCTGATCTGATATAACACATGGGGGGGAATGATATCTATACATCTGATCTGATATAACACAATGGGGGCGAATGATCTCTAACGCTGATCTGATAATAACCATGGGGGGCGAATGATCTGCTAACCTGGGTCTGATATAACACATGTGGGGGCGAATGATCTCTAAACCTGATCTGATATAACACATGGGGGGCGAAATGATCTCTAACCTGATCTGGATATAAACACATGGGGGGCTATATGATCTCTAACCGATCTGATATAACACATGGGGGGCGAATGAAGAAGTCATCGTCAGAATGTCACATGTCAACGTCTTGTTACACGTCTTGTAGATGTGTTAGTGTGTGTGTGTGTGTGTGTGTGTGTTGTGTGTGTGTGTGTGTGTGTGTGTGCTGGTATGTGTGTGTGTGTGCCGCGCGCAGGCGTGTGTGTGTTGTGTGTGTGGTGTGTGTGTGTGTGTGTGTGTGTGTGTGTGTTGTGGTGTGTGTGTGTGTGTGTGTGCGTGTGTGTGCGTGTGTGTGCGTGTGTTGGCGTGCGTACGTCCGTCTGTGTAAGTGCGTGTATGAACACATTTACGTCATGCATACGCGACGAAAATAGATTTCATCCTTCCGCCAGCGAGATAACTGAAAACTATATAAGTACTATAAAAACTACCAACCATGAAATTTAGGTTTTAAATTAGCTGCGGCAATTTAATACGGAAGTAGATTTCACAAAGGTTTGCGCACACATTAACACCCACAACACACAACTTTTTCGAATTTCTGGTTATGTTGACAGCTCTCTCGTTAGGTGGCAAGTGTAGTGTTACGCTGTGAATTGAGAGTCCGTATACGTGTATATGTGCATATTATTATGACCTTTACAAAAGGCTCAATATTAAAATATTGATGTACATTGTTTCGTGAACAATACTACATACAGAGAGTACAATACAGTGAGTACAATACAGAGAGTACAATACACGCATGAGACAAGTAGAATGGAAGTTTGGAAAAAGAAGAAGAAAAAGAAGAGGAAAAAGAAGAAGAAAAGCAAGACGAGGACGAGGAAGATGAGGTAATAGAAGAAGAAGGAGGATGAGGAAGATGAGGTAATAGAAGAAAAAGAAGGCGGATGAGGAGGAGAAGAAGAAGAAGAAGTAGAAGAAGAAAAAGAAGAAGAAGAAGAAGAAGAAGAAGAAGAAGAAAAAAAAGAAGAAAAAAAGAAAAAGAAGAAAAAGAAGAAGAAGAAGAAGAAGAAGAAGAAGAAGAAGAATAAGACGCAGAAGAAAATATAAGAAAAATAACGGAATAACACAAAACATATACATCTAAGGCAAACGCTTTTTTCCGGTTTTCCAGGAGTTATCCAGGACTTGAAAGATCTAATCTCCACGGCAAACAACATTTCAGCCAAATGCAATATTTGGTTCCCGTATCGCACAATCAACGACTAGAGAACAAAACTGACACACAAGACATGAATATCCTTGCATCTCAGGCTAGAGTGACACACGTCTGTTAATCCTCGCGGGATCAGACCCTGTAGATCTAAAGCCAGTAGTCAATTATCCAGTACTAACCACAGCTGGAAAAATTCCCTTTTGTTATAATCACAGTGCATTTCAGATTTCCCAGGTCCTGTACAAATCCCGAACGTCCTAAACAACTTGAATTGAACCAATCGCGGCAGGAGAGTCGGAGAGAGTTTATTCCGCAGCAGATTCCAGCATCTTTCCAGCGTCGACGACCCGTGCGTTCTTTCTCGCAGCCGACGCTTTTGCCTTCGCCTTCTCTTGCTCCTGTAATGTAATGGAGTTTAGATGGGCGCCCGGCCGCGCGCACCACTCAGTCGCGCAGTGCTTAGAGACGTGTTGTGCTAGACTAGTATGAATCTCATGGGGGCGGCTTGAACATGACGTCCTTCGAAGTCACTTTTCCCTCCCTCTCTCCCCCTCTCCCTCCCTCCCCCTCTCTCTCACACACACGTTCTCTCCCCTATATATCTCTCTCTCTCTTTCGTGCTCTCTCTCGCTCTCTACCTCCCACTCGCTCCCTCTCTCACAGTCTCCACCTCTCCCACTCACCCCCTCTCCCCCTCTCCTTCGCGCGCGCGCACACACACACGTAACACACACACACACACACACACACACACACACA